ATTAGAATTCAATAAATTTGTTGGAAGGGAGAGAATTATTGTAGCCTTTGCTTACTTCCCATTGTGATAAAATTGTATACGTTGACGGGGAATATGAAAGAGGTTCTGAGGTTATTTAAGGGGGGGGGGGCGGACGGAGTGAAAGGAGGGGTCACTCCTGTATCTGTCCGCCGACCTGTCATGACATACTAACATTAGAGAACGTAGACAACTTGTATACGTTCTCTAACGTTAGAGAACGTTGACACTACTCATCTTTTTATCTGTCGTCCTACTTGCTATTTTCAGTCATCACATTTTACTAACTTTTCTAAGGGATGGGTGGTTGGTGGGTGCTCTGGTGCGGTTTGCTCCTCTTTCCTACAATACATCTTCCATCGTCTTTATCTCCCCACCTTCTTTTTTGTGTTTGTTACTCTCTTGTAACACCTCTAATCTTCGGCACTTACATGGCCTTATTGCGATGCAAGTGCCGTAAAACTCTTACTAAAACAAATAACTTTTCTAATACTTAATTTTTTAAGACGTACTTGTGTTATGAGTGCCGTAAAACTCTTACTACAACTAAACAAAAAGTCAAACTAATTCATGACTTTTGGCTCTTCTTGTTGCAGAATCTGGAGGAGATCTTACCACAAGTCCCGCAGAGACGATGGCGCGACCTATCAGTGTGTTCGTCTGTGTGTCGTTGGTCTGTGTGTGCGCCGCCGGCCAAACCATTCCGACGTTCGAGGAGTTCCTGTCACAGCAGACGGAGATGAACCGGAAGAGAGTCGAACAGGCGGAAGTACGTCATCAACTTCTCGAGCAGCTAGGGGATTTCCCCTTTTCCGCTCGCCAGATCTTTGAAGCATATTTTAGAACCCAACAAAGCGGTGCCCAAGTTGGTGGGGAGAAGCCCCCTCAGAAAGGGAGAAATGTTGAGAACGTAAACGTTGCAGCTAATGCTGTACGGGACTATAAGATTGGCCAAGATTTAGGTCAGAAACCGACAGTCGTTTCTTCAAACGGACGGTCGGAATCTCGCTTTTTGTCGTCTGTGACGGATAGATGTGCCCGTGACGTCATGGCTCTGGTGGACGGGGTGGAGAAAAGTGCGCCGTGGTCACTGGTAATGCTGGACTCGGCCGGACGGCCTGGACCCGGCTTCCTGAAAGGGAGGTTATTCTGGTCAGGTTACTATGACGAATGTGTGGCGGTGAAGGCTTCTTATTACGATATACTAGGGACGGGGCGATTTGACGGCCGGTACTGTCGTGTTGGTCTGGAGTTGTATATCCCGAAACTGCCGAAGATCCCTGTGAGTCACTGGGGCTTGTGTTTCCCCGATTCGTGCGGGGATGAGGATGTGAAGGACGTGCTGTCCACAGCTCTGAAACAACTCAACTACACCAAGTCTGTCAAAGTGACCGGTGCGACGTGTCATCACCCGCTCCCACTTTCCACCCGCTGCATCGCCGTCATCGCTCTCGTCGCCGTTTTCGTTTTCCTGGTGGTGGTGGCTACACTTGTGGACCTTCTGCTCATCCAGTGGCCGATGTGGAGGCTCGAGGCGATTAACCGGAGAGGGGAGGAGGAGCGGCTGACGGAAGAGCAGGACAGTATCGTTGCCCAGACCGAGGCGGACATCGCTATGCTGATCGTCAACACGGAGTACAAAGACGGCATGTACAGACCAGGCCGGGCTGTCAAACTCTTGCTCTCCTTCTCTGCATGGTCCAACAGCTTAAAGATCTGGAACACCCACCAACCGCGCGGCTGCCTCAAGTGCGTGAACGGTATCCGCGTGATCAGCATCAGCTGGGTCATCTTGGGGCACGTGATCGTTGTCATGTCCTCGGTTGTGGGCAACTTGCTGCAGGTCGAGGAGACCCACGTGACCCGCTGGACATTCCAGGCCATCTGGAACGCCACGTTCTCCGTGGACTCATTCTTCGTGATGAGCGGGCTTCTTGTGACCTACCTCACGCTCACAGAGATGTCAAGGTCGGACGGGAGGGTCAACTGGGTGCTGTTTTACGTGCACAGATACCTGCGTCTGACTCCCGTCTACATGATCTGTCTCGCCATCTGGGCCGCCACGGCGCCTTACTGGTCTGACGGGCCTTTCTTCTCCCAGCAGGGGTTCGAGAAGGATTACTGCGAGGACTCGTGGTGGGGCAATTTGCTCTACGTCCAGAATCTGGTCAAGTTCCCGAGCTCTTGCTTCAAATGGGGCTGGTACCTGGCCGTGGACATGCAGTTCTTCCTGGTGAGCCCGCTCATCATAGCGCCCCTGTACTTCCTCCCGCTGCTAGGTTACGCGTCTGCCGGTTTGTTCTTCCTCGCAACGACCGTCTCGCCCTTCGTTCTGACCATGACCCGGAACTACGGCCCCGGGATCGGCGAGGTCAAAGGTCACAAAGACGCCGGGGATAGTTTCTACTACCTGTACTCCGCGCCCTACTGTAGGATGGGTCCTTACATTATCGGTATGTTGACGGGGTATGTTTTGTACCGCTGTGACCTCCGGGTTCGAATCCCGCGGGTTGTCAACCTAATCGGCTGGGCTCTTGCTACTGCAGTCGCTCTAGCCGTCCTGTATGGCTTGTATCCTTACGCTGACGGGACGGAGAAGATTGACCTAGTTTTGTCCGCCTTCTACAACAGTCTGAGCAGGTCCGCGTGGGGGTTGTGCGTGGCTTGGGTCATCTTTGCTTGCGTCACGGGGAACGGTGGCCTTGTCAACAGTCTGCTGTCGATGCCAGTTTGGATACCTCTTGGCCGACTGACCTACACGGCATACCTGACTCACCCGATGGTCCTGACGGTGTGGGCAGTGACCAGACAGACGCCGCTGTACCTGGATGACGTGTCTCTGGTCATGATTTTCCTAGCCACACTGATGGCCACGTACGCTGTGTCCTACCTGGTCTCTTTGGCCTTTGAGTGGCCCGTGGCTGCTGTGGAGAAGCTGGTCTTTAACAGGGGAAAGAGGAGTTAGCTGTGTGTGTGTGTGTTTGTGTGTGTGTGTGTGTGTGTGTGTGTGTGTGTGTGTGTGTGTGTGTAAGTGCGTATGCGCGTGTCTGTGTGACTTCTAGTATATGCCATGGATATATCTGCGAATGTGTATAGCTTTAAACGTTTTGGTGGTTTACGAATTGTCGAAAAAATTTTTTTCTCCAAAAATATTCCTTATACCTTGATTCACGATGTGTATAAATATCAATTCCAGATTCAAACTATAAAAATGCTTGAAAGTGCACTTGAAATTAGTCGCTTTTAAGGACGAGCGGGCTAACCCAGATGTCGGGGGTTTCCAGAAATCTTGACCTACACCAAAAGTGGGCATTGCCCTCCAAACCTGTAGGAGAAGTTTGGTTTCATTGATGTGTATATTTGTTTGGTTATAGAGAAAACTCTTCTTGTCTTTTAAAGAAACTGAACAAAGGTCCAAAACCTTACCTTTGATTTTCTCAAAACAACATTTTTCGGGATAGTCCCGTAGTGCTTAAAAGCGACTAATTCAGCACGAACCACGACATCCACCGCAGAGAAATAATTTAAGTAGTCCCTTGAATCTGCCAACGTAAATTAGCGTGGTTCCATTATCAGAGAGCCGGTCGATTGCCACGGATGAGTGAACATAATTATCGCTATACAGACTATACTCCTCTGAGTTGTCACTTACTCTATCGATTTTATTTGATGTGCTGAGGGACACAGAAATATTCACCCTCGTAAAACGTATCACTGTCCCCGCAGTTTTATGCCAAAAAAAATAATTCTGAAATTACGCAAACAGAGACCCCCAAAAAAGTGAAATTATGCGATTCTGTTAATTTTAACAAAGAATGATAACGGAAAATAATCAGAAATTATACAAAACATTATCACATTTTTGCTAAATTATACGGGGTGCACAAAACCACGGGGGCAGATAACAGCTCACCTGCTGGCCATCAGGACTTCGTAAAACGACCCAGAGCATGTTAATCATGCCCGTCCCTGCCATAATCCAATCGTATAAAAACCAAATTTCTCAAACATCTATGAGGCAGCGTGGAGAAATCAGGCTCTCGACAAAATAATGAAAATGAAGAAACTGGCATTTTCCTGCCGGTTTGGGAATTTTTATCGATTTTTTTCTATTTTGGCTCAACATCTTTCATGCCATTTAAGAACACAATAACGCCACATGCCCCAAAATTGACGAGCATCTGATTCCTCCACGTCGTGACACATTTTTATTCGCTAAAGAGGTGGTGGGGGACCAGAAGGCTATCTCGGCTATTATAAACCCTAGAGAGCCCTTATTTGCTCTGGGACGCATCAATCATGTATCATTGGGGATTTTAAAAATATTGTTAGAAAAAGTCAATCTGGTTCGGTTGCCATGGAAACGGCGGCAAAGAAGTGTCTCTGACACAAAGTGACAATATTTTGTGTGATGCTAAAGCTAAGCTGTACCCTGATACAACGCTCACACTGTAAGAAAAGCATTGAATAAAAATAATATTATTGAAGTAGTCTCGTATTTTGTGGGTGGTTGGCGGATGCTCTGGTGTGGTTTGCTCCTTCTTTCCTATCAAACAACTATCGTCCTTATCCCCCCACCCCCTTCCTCCCTTCTGTTTTATTCTTTGTTACTCTCTTGTAACACCTCTAATCCTCGGCACTTATAGATGACCTTATTGTGTTGCAAGTGCCGTAAAACGCTTACTAAAACAAAAACTCGTCTCCCATGTAACATTTACTTTTCGGCGCAATTGTAGGGTTACACTACCACGGGGACGTTGTGAATTTAAAAACATCCCAAAGATTGCGAGGCTGGCCCAGAACAACCAAAAACCACGTATTGCGCTGTTCGAAACTGGCTGAATACCTAAGCAGGGATCAGTCAACACCTGATTCCACCCTATTGGGATACTTTTTAATACTGTAGTGTGGACTCAGCTGTCATTCCTCCGATCGTTCGTTCTTTCATTGGAATTTATTATTACTCTCGTTCATGAACTCATTATTGTATTGTTCATTTATTCTCTCACTCATTCATTTTGTTGCTGGGTTTTTTTCTTGTTGTTATTGTTGGGTTTTATTTGTTTGTTGGATTGGGGGTTTTTTGGGTGGGTTTTTTTGTTGTTTGTTTTGTTTTGGGTTTTTTTCTTCTGTATCATGACAGTATGCAGTCGCGAGCGCCGCAAAACTTTAACCAACCAAACATAATTCATTTCTTTGCTCAAAAATAGCAGAGTGGGTGGTTGGCGGGGGCCCGGGGGTGGTTTGCTCCTTCTGTCTTAGCCAAGATCTATCGTCCTTACCACTCTTCCCTCTTTGCTCTGTATGTTACTCTCTAGTAACATGTCTAATCTTCGCCAATTATATTATGATCTATTTGTGTTGCAATTGGCGCAAAACTTTTGTTGTACTAAAACTAGTAAAAAAGTAACGGACATTTCGCAAACACAACAAGTTACTGTTGTTGTTGTTGTTGTTGTTGTTGTTGTTGTTGTTGTTGTTGTTGTTGTTG